TTTTTATAGATTACAAAACTTGCCCGAATTTTTTCCAAATTTTGGAAATGAAAAATCGCTGCGCAAGAATTTTTAAACATTATTTAGGTTTTTTCAGAGCTTTGACTTTATAAAATTAGGGCTGATTTAAGCGTTGTGCATAACAAAGATGCACCGAATGACTCTAAGAAAAAAAAACAAAAGAGCAAAAGACCCGAAGAAATAATCGAAATTAATATTAGCAATGTTCCGAAAGATTTTGTTGTTGGCTCTGCTCCGTGTGGACAATTTGCCAGTTCAAAATTGTATAATTTTTTTGATGAGCACGGCTCAGAATCCAGCAGAATTTTCCATTTTAACAAAAAAGGTTTTTCTGTTGAACGACGTGTATAATATTTTGCTAGATTTTTACGACAAAATTTTTACGACAAAGAAAAAAGCACTGTAAAAATTTAAGCGAAAATGCAAAATCGGAAGCAAAGTTTATTCTGCTCTAAACCACTAGCAGTTTAAACCACTAGCAGTTTTTTTCAAATAATTTCCAATGCAAATAAAGGTCAAAGTGATTTTCAAACAGTCGAAAATGAGAAAACTTTCAAGAAAGAAAAATACAAGTTCTTCAAGAAAATTTTTCAAAAACATTTAATGTTTTGGGCAACGAATTAATATCCCCAGACTTTTCAAAATTATTCAAACAACAATTTTTTTGCTCTTAGGGGTGCAACGAGCGGATGGCTGTTACGGCCCCCTAATCGTTCGAGTTCCAGAAGAACTAAATCCCCATAATACTTTATACGACTTTGATTTATCCGCTCATACCATAACGCTCATCGACTGGGAAAATAAAACTAGTATGGAGAAATTTCTGGATCACCATCACAGTGATGGCAACAACAAACCATTGACTCTTTTGGTGAATGGAATGGGAAGAAACAGGATGTTTCCTGATGAAACCAATGATACTTTGCATACTCCGTTGGCGAGATTTTCAGTGGAGCAGGTAAATTGGGAAAAATTAATATTATTCCATAAACTTTTTCATTGGGATTATTAGGGATATAGATACAGATTTCGGGTGATAAATGCCGGATTTCTCAATTGTCCTGTGGAGGTATCAGTGGATAATCATTCAATTAGCGTTATTAGCTCAGATGGAGAAGACATCAATCCGGTTGAAGGTAAGTAGCGAAAACAACTAGGAACTAGGAAATCTAGAAAGAATTTGTTCATTATTAATAATAATCTTGCCTGCAAGTGTACAATTGGCAAGCAACCAAAAAAGTTGCCGAATTAAGAAAAACGTTTGGAACCAGTTTCGGCAAACTACTGGTAATTGGCAAGGCAAATTTTGTCACATTCTCACGAAACAATGAAGGATTTTCAGATAAATATGGGTTTTTTTTCGGTAATGACGATTCGGTATCTGACGCATTTTTTGCAACATAATATTCAGATCTCCTTAAAGGAAACGTTGATTGAACTTTTTAAGTGAGTTAAATGATGATGGAATGAGCCAAATTATTTTCGAGTTCTTGGTAAAAGTTATTAGTTAAGTGGGATTTTGAGGAATTGCTACACGCTTCTTAAAAGTGTACACTAGAGGAAACTGTTTACCATTTTTCTGGCACAGTAGTTACAAGTTAAGAGGATTCTTCTATTTAAAAGCAAACAGAATTTTCCAATTACCAAACTCGATTTTAAGTGAAATTTGGAAACGAAAAACTTGCTGAGAAACTCATTTATCCCCAGCTGGACTGTTTTCTTTTCCCATTTTTTTGCACCGCGTATCGAAAATAGATCGCTCGAATTGCGCTTAAATTGCAAATGCATGGTTTCAAACGTTTCAAAAAAGCCAAATTTCAAATTGAATCAAACTAAAAAATAATGTTGTGTTCTTGGACAAAATAACATAAAAACATACGAAAAAGAACGAAGATAAATTAATAAAAAAAAAAACCATTTTGACAAAACATTGCAATTAGCAGAGAACTTTGCTGGCAAAATGGCATGCAAATGTTTTAATCTCCAAACTGATTTTTTGCATCACGACCCAAAAGCAAATTAATATTCTTCACATTAACATAGATTTTCCTTTGCTGCAGCCAATATTCCAACAATTACAGAATCATATCGAAGTTATCTAAGGTTTTGCAGATATTTGCAAATCAAATTCCACTGGTTTGTACCATAAATGGACTTGAAATGCCTTTAGGGGGCGATTTTGCAATAATCGCTTCAATGCTTGACACCGTTATCATGATTTAATGTCGTTCTTTCCAATTCTAACATACTGGCCTTTGGATCGAGTTTATTAAATATCAGATGTGAGGCAAATGCCGTAAATAACACAAAAATATTACGAAACCGCATGAAATATTATGGAAATTATACTATATATTATTCGCGAAAAGTCCATTTAAAAACCGGCGGGCTTTGTTTTCAATAAATTCCCATCAACTTCTTTCCATAGCTGACTCTTTGGTGAGCTACGCAGGAGAACGCTTTGACTTTGTTTTATCCGCTGACCAACCGAAGAACCTCTACTGGATTCGCTTTAGAGGCCTGATGGACTGCGACGAACGATATATGAAGGCTTTCCAAGTCGCTGTTTTAGAGTACAAAGACTATGCAGAAGAAAAGGACGTCGATGGTAAATTAGCCATCAAAATCGCCGTTTTTTCTTCAAAACCTGCTGTTGTTACAGCTATGATGGATCAGAATACTCCAACTTGGGAATCCACTGAAATGACAAATGAAACCGAGCTCAGCAACGATGTAACTGATCAGCTTCCGACTCAGGCTACTTTATTGGAACGAAATGTTTTTGAAAATTTCTACAGTTCGGATGAGACGCTTCCGGAGTCAGTACCGGATTATGAAAACTCCCGGAGAGGCGGCAAGGTGAGTTGGAGACTGCTGTTTCAGCTGGCAGTAGAATTTAATAATTACTGCAAGTAATTTAATTTTGCTCATACAGGGTGATTGAAAGTTGATCGAATTCGCTAATAATTAAGTGTCTAAGGAAAGTTGGGCTCGATTAAACGGGTATTAAGAAAAACAAACGGTTTGCTAAACTTCCGTTGTTTCAGCAAAATAACTTTTAGACTCTTGACAATCTTACAACTTTGCTTCTATCTCTTTACAGGCTTATCCAAAAAGGTCACCACCATTGACAAGTTTAACCATTTCTTGCAAGGGTTTTACGTTTTAATCTTCAACTTCCCTCAAAAATTAGTTCAATAATCACTCATATTAATAGTGTTTTTACCCAAATACATTTCTGCGAATTCGTGCAACGGAATAAAAAGCGCCTCAAAAAGATATAAGTAATTTAAAAATTTGCATCTTGAGAATGATATGCATTTCAAACGTGATGGCAGAAACACTTTTCCTTTGTACACCCTTTGAACATTTGCCCTCACTTTTGAACCTCCGAGTATTATACACGAGGAGACGTAAAAAAAATAATGTTTTGTTATCTGAGTGAATTTTCCTGTCGTTTTGTATTTTCAATAGGATTTGAGGCCACTTTCCAAATGGCAAAATGAGCTGCAATGTCGAGAATATAAGCGTCTAATTCGTCTGTTGTTTTCAGCAACTTAATTCATTAAACAAAGGAACTGAGTCGAACACTTCGCACATCAGTATACCGGATTTGTCCTCCATCCGAAAATGGGATCACCGATTGAAGCAGAAGCCCGATTATCAGTTTTTTTTGGCCTACGACTTTTACCGCATCGACAATCCCCATTTCTACGGCGATGGATACGAATTCTATAATGGTAAGCTGATGGACAACCTTCAAAAAGTCCGCATTTTCAACCGGAAAATGACAAACTGAACTAAAACACATTTTGTCTCTAGTTTCTCCTAGTATGAATCAACTATTGACGCCTCAAATCAACCACATATCTATGGAAATGCCCTCCTTTCCTCTACTGCCCCAACGAGAGGATATCGCAGCTAATTCCTTCTGCAACGAAAACACTGTTGATAAGGAAAACTGCACTCGGGAATATTGCGAATGTCCTCATGCTTATGAGGTCAGTTTCCAAGAAAATAACTCCAACAATTCGTGTACTCATCCGTGACTGTTTTAGCTGAAACTAGATTCGGTGGTTGAACTGGTGATAATAGATGAAGGTTTCGCCTTCGATGCCAACCACCCTTTTCATCTTCATGGAAATGCGTTTCGTGTGGTGGCAATGGAGAAAATTGGAAGCAACGTCACTGTTGAACAGGTGAAGCTGAAGGATAGAAAAGGACTGATAAAGAGGAACCTGTTGGATGCGCCCATTAAAGACACTGTAACTGTGCCGGATGGTGGCTATACGGTTGTGAGGTTCCAAGCGTCTAATCCAGGTGATTATTTAACTTTAACTAAATAAAGTTAGTTGAATTTTTCATTTTTAAAGGGTTCTGGTTGTTCCACTGCCACTTGGAGTTTCACGCGGAAATAGGAATGGCGTTGGTGTTTAAAGTGGGCGATTATAACGAAATGGCTCCAGTGCCTCCCAATTTTCCTCGCTGTGGAAATTACATGCCTCAAGTGAGTGCAAAGCTGATTTTTAGGCTTTTCCAGCACTAATACCTTGTTTTTCCAGGCGGAAGCTTTAGAGAGTGGAAAACCAACCTGCAGTAAATACCCATTACTAAGAGAGTTTGAAAAAGTCCTGTTTGGCGACTATTGCGAATCAGATTCTTCAGGAAGTGTGGATTTACGCTATGATAAAACACTAGCAGGAATTCTTCTGGGACTTTGGTTTTTCTTTGCCATCTACTCCTAAGATGAGAAGAAAGACGCCCTTTGCGTTAGACAATAGTGTCTTTTTACTACAATAACTTGCCACATTAACTAAGTAAAATGTGATAAACTGCTGTGATTCTAGTCAGATAATGTTGTTAATAAAAAATAAAGTATTTGAAATGTGAAGGAATTTACTTTATTTTCTTCAAAGCGCTTTATAATGTTGTAGTTACTCAACAATTGTGGTTACGGAAAACTCTTTTTCTGCTAGAAAAGTTCAATTTTTGCGCGACTAATAAAAAAATATAAAGAGTGTGCGCTGATATACAGAGTGTTAAAAAGAGAGGGTCAATGGCATGCAAATTTACACTTTCAAGTGGCATGGTTTGCAAGCAGGCATTTTTTTAAATTTCGCTTCCACTAAAACTGTGTTTTAATGTACTACACAGCTCATTTTGCCAGGAAAAATAAGAAAACACATTTTTTTCCGTATGCAAGATAACTTTAAACTATTTTGAAAATCTGTCGTGGATGATTTTTTAAAATAATGCTTTTTACCTTGCTTTTTTTTAAATAGATCGATGAAAACTGATTTTTTCTACGTAAAATGAACATTTAATGTTTATTTACATAACATTAAAATATTTAAAAATAATAAGTGTTACTATTATTTTGTAGTCTCACGTGTAACAACTATGTGAAAAATTGACTTGACAATAAAACTAAAAAGTGACTTAATAAAATAAATAGGAAATAAATAACGTAATAATATGTAAATGGAGCAAATGAAGACATGTATTTTATTTAAAGTGTCGGCTTAAGACGGTGCACTTTAAATTTGTCGAAAATTACATCTTTTAACACAAACTTTCCCTATTTTATTCTGCTTCTGTAGCTTTTAGATATCTAATTCCCTTAGATCTCATTTAAATAAGCGCAAAATGTATAACTTTAAAAACAAACTTACTTACAGAGCTCGAATTTTTTATACATTCGAAATATTTCAAACGATTTGTATTTTTTATACTTCTCAAGAGTACATTTTGGACGTTTCACATTAAAAAAATTTGTTTTCAAATTTTTCCAAGTTTGCGAATAAATACCTTAATAAAACCTTCGTTGTCGCATTTCTGATAAACTAATATAAGCATTTAATAATAATTGAAAACATTAAATAAAATTATTATTATTTCAATGTAAATAATTTTGTACATACTTTCCTGACTGTGTTTCAATTCCAAATCAAAATTAATTCCTGGGTTTCAGTCATTTATTGTCTCTATTTATCAATCAAAATACGTTTCGGTGTTTTTCACCACCATCAGTTTTTATGTGTAGCGTTGTTGCTACTTTAAGCCTTGGCATATATTTGGTACCACCAACCAAAAAATGACTGAAACCCAGGAGTAAATAATCATTATTAAAAAAAAACTAAATGCGGTGTTAATTGCGACAAGTTTTCTTGACAATAAAAGTCAAAATAAAAAAAACTAAAGTAGTTACATAGTTTTGAATGTTGAAAAAATTTTTAAAAAAATTGTACTTATTTTTTCTGTAACAAAAATTCTTAACAATTAATAATTAAACATTTTTGATCAATTACTGAAGTGTTCAGAACTTCTCAACCAATTGTTTTAAAACGTTTTTTTTTTTAAATATTAATTTATGCACATTTTTTTCTTCAAAAGATATTATTACCATTGTAAAAAATGGATGCATCTTTAACCTAATTTTTGAGAAGAATCATTTTAAATAATGTTTTCCATTAATATTAAATCTTAAAAAAAAACCCAATTGGTATATCGTAAATCTGGCAATAGCGTTGTATTTGTTTCCATCGTCGATCAGTCAACACTGTTGTCAATGTCACTTTTCAACTACACCGGAGACAGATCCATGACATTTCTTCCCTGCCATTTCCTTTTCATTAGGTTTGTTTTGGTGTTTCTAGGTAAGCAACTTACTTTTAACCGAATTTTCAGTCATCCGCCTCTACGTTTAACAAAAGTGCTAAAATGACATAAAATCCTATTCTTCGACCGTCCACCTGTTGTATTTATTGAATATTTTTCATCTAGTCTTATTGAAACATGTAGAAAATGGAAAAACTCTCCACTAACCACTAACCACTCTAACCTCTAAAGAGTTAAACTTGCTTGTTACAGCTGAACAGCACCGATCATGAAGTTCAATAAACTGGTATCCGCGTCCAGGAGCAAAAACAGGAAGAGGCATTTTTCTGCCCCTTCCCACATTAAGAGGACTCTTATGTCTGCCCCCCTTTCCAAGGAACTTAGGCAGAAATACAATGTCCGTTCCATGCCTATCCGCAAGGACGACGAAGTCCAGGTAAGCCCCCATATCAAACTTGCGATGTGCTTAATACCATCAGGGACTTAATGATGAAACAAACCATTCGTAGACGGTAGAGCTTAAGACTGAACGGGGTTCCGATTTCAAAGGTTTTCTTTGTTATGCAGGCACCTAGTTTAGTTTTGCCTACATTGTGGTGAAGCTGTGGCACTGATTGTTAATAAACATCTGATATTAATTTACATTGTGTAATTTTTCATTTAACTATCAGGATTTTGTGTCTGATTTAGGTAGTAAGAGGCCACTACAAAGGACAGCAAGTGGGCAAAGTTGTACAAGTGTACAGAAAGAAATTTGTCATCTACATTGAAAGGATACAAAGAGAAAAGGCCAATGGAGCTAGCGTGTATGTTGGTATTCACCCGTCAAAGGTATGTTCTAATTGCAGGGCAGGTGTTTAATTATTTGGGCTACAGTAGAGTCATTGAATCTAAGGTTTACTGCTCGATAAAAAACTAATTGCTCTCTATTATTCGGTCACACTAGAAACAAGTTTAGCATTCTTTAAATTTATTTTTTCATAGAATGAAATGGTGCTGATCACTGGCTGCTGTTAAGAAGCGGTTAAATCGTAATCTGATCAAAGTTCTGATTTTTAACAATATGGTATTAAAATGTTTTTTTACATAATGATGATTCAAACCATTCTTCGACGATAGAGATGAGATTTGGTGGGGTTCCGGCTATATAGGTTTTCTATATGGCGCAGGCACCTAACGAAATCTTGCCTATCTTGTGATAAGAAATTGGCACTGAATATCTCAGGGACAAAACTCTTTTGAAAAATTAAGCCGCCATATCTTACACTTGATTTCTTACAGGTTGTAATTGTTAAGCTAAAAATGGACAAAGACAGGAAGAAAATCATTGACCGCAGAGCCAAAGGACGTCTGGCTGCTCTGGGCAAGGACAAAGGCAAATACACAGAAGAATCTGCGGCGGGGACTGTAGAAACTTCTTAAGCTGGACCACTGTCCTTAATAAATAAGTTTAAAAAAGACTATGGAATTTTTATTTCTTGACCTTTAGTTGTTGTACCTTTTGGTAATTTGCCACCACCTTTGATCGATGGCAACGATTCGAAGTATGTCAGTTTTAGTCGATGTAAATCTGTTTTTTTGTTACAAGAAATTATGTTATGTTTATACCGCAAAGTGGTGAATTATAAATCGTTTCTTTGACTATCAAAACGAAGCAAAGTATGTCTGCTGTTCAATTTGGTATATTATTTCTGGCTAAATCGCCTTTTCCAGACAATGAATCCCGGTAATTACCAACAAAATTACTATGAAAACCAGCCGGACAACAATTGTGGTCAATTTTACCAATCCGAAGCGGATCATTTTGAAAACAATTACGAAGATCCCCCCAGTTTACGCGTCCCAGATGCCCAACTATACGCAGATGTAAGCAATTTGCGATATTTGTTCTTTGGCTACGCTTGGAAAAGATTAATTTGGCACTCAGACCTAAAAAAGCGCTTCACTCGGTCGTGGATGGTCAGATTGACTGCTGACTCTTATCTGTAGGTTTCCGGCCGTTTTTATTTCAGTAAATACAAGAAAAACAACTGACGCGACCATTACACGATTGATTTTTTCTATAGCTTGAAATTTACGGCTTGCTGTCCGAATACAAAATACATTTTATCGCAGGGCACGAACCTCAATGTTATTTCATCGGCCGATTTTCTGTTCTTGAAAACCTTTTGTACCCTTTTATGGACGCTTTTTCTGCGAGGCTATGCGTATTCAAAACAAAAAAGACTCATTTTTGCGGGACAGCGCCTTTTGATGACCGACGCTCTGAATTCTTAATGTGTACTACCAGTACAAACTTTACTTCTTTATTAATAATTTGCTACTGGAATTATAGCCAAGGTTTTGCGTATTTTACTGTATGCTATTTATATTTATAGGGTGTTGAGAACATGACCGAAATGTTTTCCCGAAATCCACCCTTTTCCGATTCGGTTCCACCTTTGGAAATGCCCAGGCGATCTGTAAACGTTGAGCAGCCTTCCGAGTGAGTCGCATTTCAATCTGCGGTTTTTATGCTTATGAAAAATCATCAATTTCTCATTGGTTCTTGATCAATTTAGCAAACTGATTTTGTAATCATTTTAATGCCAACTTTTCTGCAGATATTTTTATAAAGTTGCGCCACACCACAAGCCACATTATGAGCCGGTAGTAACACCTCAGCCTCACAAAATGAGAACTAATAATTACCATTACCCCCATTGCACGGAATATTCAACCGCTGTGGAAGATCAAGTGATTCATAGAAGAAACGAAGAAATCTACATAGATGAAGGCGGTTACTATTGCGAACAGTATCCGCAAATGAAAGCTTCGCCTCATGTGTGTAAAGTGCATCAAAACAAAATGCAAACCTGTGCTTTGCACCAGAATTATGGAGCTTTAAAGATGCCTCCAGTTGAACCTAGCATCAAAAGTAAAAAACTCATCAAGGATGTGTATATTGACTATAGGGAGAAGAATTTTTATGGGCATAAGGCGGCAAGAGCAACGCCTGTTAGGAAGCAGGCAGTAACAGTAAAAACCCCCAAGTAAGTGAAAAGCTTCGGTAATTGAAATTTATTCTTCAAGAAGCAGCACGAACATTGAATGAAAAATGTCTTAGTCATCCAGCAAAAATTTATCCGTCATTCTAAGAAAACTGATTTTTTTATTCAGGGTGATTCAATAACTTGGTGGTTGAATAACTTGGTAACTAACAGATGAAATCAACTTGTATCTGAATAGGACTAAAAAATCAATTAATTTTGGTGATTGGAAGACGTTCTATCTGTTTAAAATAGACGATAAAACGAGGAAGAGCTATAGAGACAGGATACACTTGACACACTATATGTGTACATAACTGTAAGCCATCGCGCGTACGTTCAAAAAAAATATTCTAACTGAACGAATCCAAGGCTAAAAAAATTAAACTAAATTGAGAATATTTAATCATAAAGGAATCAAAGAGTATATGAAGGGAAAAAATCCATTTTGATGCATGGTGAACACAATTAATCATAAAAATAATATAGAGAATTGAAAATAAGCCCTAATAAATTCGTTTTACATATTTTGCAACTATAAGCTAAAGGGAGATGCGTATCGTCTTAACATCAAGAATGCGTTGCGGGATAGAAAATTAGAAGACGGAACCCATGTTTTCTGAAATAACCGAGGTAAACTCAAATATTTTTTCAATTAAATTGAAAACGTATTTATTATATATTATTACAAAACAGTAATGATGTT